AAACCAACATAAAAGATGAATTAGAATTGTGGTGCTTAAATAGTTTTAATAAAAACTATTGTAATGAATGTTAAAAGTAAACGAAAGGACACATGAAGAAGTTGTTAGAAGAGATAAGGGGAGATGAAAAGTATAACATTATTAAATAATAGAAGAAAAATATATATGAAATTTAATACCGACAGTAAAGAACAGAAGATGAAGGGAGATAAATCGTATACCACACATAGTAAACAATAAAAGATAAAAAGGGATGAAAAATGTAATAATTGTAATAAAAGATCACAAAAAATGTTGAAAAATAATAGGAAATAAAATATATAAAAAAGAAAACGAAAAGATACAACATTTTTATTTTAAGAAGAAAAAAAAAATTAAAAACTAAAGCAAAACATAAAAATGCATGTGAGAATCATGTGAGAGGACTACCAAAAACAATCTCATATTCCCCAATAATAATATATGTTGATAACACAAAAGACACTAAAGAATAAAGATGAAAGATTTATGAACTTTATTGTTAGAAACTCGAATCTAACAATAATGGAACAAGATTTGGATGTGTTCTAATCGTGTTAGATACTGTCTTTAAGACAATATTTGCCCCCTCCATGTGACAATACCGGATTTGTTTGGCAATTTGCCTCTAGGACATGGAGAACACAAGAAGATGGAACTTCCAATTATTGAATATTCTTAAGAATTTAGGAATGCAAAAGTTAGAATGAAATCCTGCACTAGTTCACATATTTATAAGCAACACTTACAGAAACAAAAGATACAAATTAAGTACATGATTCTTAGCTTGTAGGAAATAAACAACATGCAAGTGAAGGGTTGCCAACTTAATTATTATCCTTAAATTCTAAATTAAAATTTCCAACAGAAACACCATGTTCCATTCTCACGTATCCACTCTCCCCCCAATACACGGCATAAGGACACCCCCCAAAATAACAAAAAAACAAAAAAAGAAAAAAGAACAATTGATCTTCTCCCCGGTGAATCCTATAAGAGGCCCATAAAAAACTGGCATGGGAGGGCCCTGTACCTGATCAACCATATCTTGTTATCCTAGTAAAATGTCGGTTGCCTTGTGAAACACATGTGCTGCAGAATCTGCTTCTGGTTGACAATGCGGTGGCAGAGAATCGAGAAAGGGGATAACAGAACAATGGGAGATAACAAAGAGATTCCACCAAGGAAGGACGTGGTTAGTGTTTATGGAAGATAAGTTTCTCAGAGAAGATATTGACTAATTTTAATATGTTATAGTTTTCTTTTTTAAATAGTATCATATTTTATTTGCGATACTAATTGTAGTCTATCTTCCAATGTTTTGAAATTCAATCCCAAATATTTTTTTGTTTTTAAGCGGGCACAACTCTCATTTTAAAATTTAAAGTTAAAAAATCTCACCCAATATCATGACATCTAATATATGGAGAAAATTTTAATTAAGGGTGGTGGAGAGATATTAATTAATAAAAAGGGTAACACTTTTACATATGGGAAAAATTTTTAATAAAGGGTGGTGGAGAGATATTAATTAATAAAAAGGGTAACACTTTTATATAATTTGGATTAGGGGCAATAAATTATTTTTTTAAGATAGGACAATAAAACCTTTTATGCTTTGGCGTGATCACCTTTAATATTTTATATCTTCCACAAAAAAAAAAAACCTAAACAAAAAATTTTCGTGGCGCTCCAACTGCCGCTATCGATAACTTTTTTTTTTGGGGAAACATACTTTCATTAAAGATTACTGGAAATGGTCCAACGCCAATTCAGGTACAAAGTTAGGAATTACATCCCAGGATGTTTCTATGATATTCGATTATTTAGCGTACTTAGCAAAGGAATGAGATATTACATTCTGAGTACGAGGGATCCATGAAAGTTGGCGGATTGACAAGTCTTTACAGAGATAGATCACATCATTCAGAATTGGTGCACAGGGGTGAAGGACCTTCAGAATCCTAGTTAGCAGCTAAGATAATCAGGGAAGAATCACCAAGGATGACCACGTCTGAAAGTCCGAGTCTATGGCATAGAAACAAAGACTCTCGAAGGGTTAACGCTTCAGCAACATCCGAATCCACAACATTCATAAATTGACGGGCTAAACCATGTAGGAATGTACCATCTACATTTCGGATCATAACACCAGCACCAGCCCACTTCTTAGTTTTAGACTTTCGTCGATCAAGAAGATAGAATGTTAAGTCAGTGCTGTTATGAAATATGAAAGTCATCGCTGATAAAACATACTTCGGGTATTAGTTCAAATACAATAGTCGCCAGTGATGTCGGAGAGTGTGTCGGAGGAAGAACATTCAACAACAAAAAAATAACTCTTGGTGAAGTTTTTACGGCATCATGCCGGAGTCATTGGCGATATTAGAATGATCGAAAATAGTTCAGAAATTGTTATGGATATAACGATTGCAGGAATCATTTGAGATCAAGGCCACAAATATTTCAGTCCCTAGTTAGGTGAATTAGTAATACATAATTTAAGATAATAGTAAACAAAAAGTAATAATTATTTTACGATTTAAATTAACATGAGTAGTAATTCTAAAATATTAACTATTTTACTTTTAAATTTTCATTGTGAAAGTTGTTAGTATCCTATTGAGCGACACGCATCTTGGGATAAAAAATTTTCTCATATATATAAAAGATTTTTTTTATCTTATAGTAACTTGACCAAGAAAAAGTTGGAGATTCATGGCAGTTCAAACAATACACTTGTTATTTTAGAGATTAACAAATAAGGTGAATTTCAACTGGAATACAAAGATGGTGTAATGTAGAAAAAATTAACTCAATCAAAGTTTTAAATTGCAATGACAATTTGTACAAACTTCATAATGTATATTGGGTTTTACTATTACTTTAGTCCAATAACTCAAAGTAAATTATTTTTTTACTAATAAAGAAGTTTATAATTACAAATTCAAATAACCTACTATATAATGAGATTGAGAGAAGATTTACTACTTAAATGGAATTATAACTAATTATAATAACATTATATAACGTATGGAAAACCTAATCACTGAAATGATAATTTTTGTTATAAATATGTTAAGAGGTCACCAACAAAACCACAAGTCCTCATACACTGCTTATATTACGGAAAAACAAAGATGTCAAAGTTCTTCATTATTGTTTTTGCAGCTGTTGTTGCTTTGCTTCTTGCTCCTGGTATAAAGATATTATACACAATTACACATCTTGTTCTTTTTGAGTTAATCCAAATATGAAGCCTTCATATCTTTAAAATATTTTCTTGGACTCAAAACTGTATTCTAGTTTGTTGCTTTTAGTATAACGAACCGAACAATCATTTTGAGGCTGATAAAAAATACTTGGTAGAAAACTATCGTCATGATGCTTATTATTATTTTTTTTTCCCCTTCTCTTTTTATGTTTTTATTATCCAGGGGAAAAAACGAATGTGTTGGGGGATACCGGGGATGGACAATGTGATGGCCTTTGCAGGACGCCTATCCCTACGCAATGTATACTTAACCCAACGGATTGCGTCCAAGAGTGTGAAGCAGTTATTATTTCACCTGGATTGTTGCGTGGCGCTCTATGTGATCCAGATAGAGGCTGCATTTGCTGTTATAATTGTTAGGTGAAACAAACATCATGATGATCCATGTAATTTAATTGGATGACTTCGATCCAAATGAAAAAAGTTATATTCTTGTTTGGTGAAATAAAAATCATGATTTATGTAATTTAATTGGATGATGAATCGAAAATGAACAAGCCGTTATTTTTGTTCTTTGTTTTTTTTTTTTTAAGAAAAAAATTCATTATTTGCTTGATTTTACAGTCACTGACCAAGAAAAAAAAAGTTGGAGATTACAGTATTAAATACAAAAATTTAACTCAATAAAATTTCTTAATCACATTGATCATTTATGGCTCAAAGAATAAAAAATAGATCTCAAACAAAAACCATTTAGTACATGAAATCACTGCTCAATGTTTCGATTTCAGTTCAATTAATTAACTTTATAGTAAAATCCAATACTCAATGTTGAAAAAAATCATCTAGTACATGAAATCACTGTTCAATGTATTGAGTTAAATTTTCTTTTTATACAATGGCACTGGATATCCTAACTTAACTTCTCCTTTATTTTATTTCCTTGTCAAATAAACTGATCTCGTGACGCAAATTCTTTTTGGGTTCCTTCTATGAGAAGAAAATTAAAATATGAAGAAAAAATAAAAAAGAAAGAGAAGGAAACTAGAATAAACTTTGAAGACTACATTACTATTGACTTAAATATACAAAATAAAAGTAAATGCCATATTTATAACCGTGTCTATACTATTGGATAAAACCAATTTTAGTGATAAAAATTACTCTGAATAATTAATACATTTTCATTAGAAATTATCACTAAAATAAATCTCTATCACTAAAATAAATTCTAACTCCACTGTTGATAATTATCTTCTATATAATGAAGCTCTCAATCCATACTCCCTAAAAGAATCCCAGCTACAAGTACTACTACTAACGCTACCGCTTTTGGGATTCATTGCTTGCCCAACTTTGTTGATGATTTTGCTGAAATCTGCCCCCTGTTTTACATTAAAATGATTCACAAATACCTCATTTTCTGTCGTATTGTAGCGATTGTGCTAGTTGTTGTTCTTCTGTTTCTGTTAATGCTAATAATTACCTGTCCATTCAAGGTATTTTTTATTTTATGATTTTTGACAAATAAATTACCGCCCTTCATAACAAATTTTTTAAAGTCGTAACCCATTTATTAAATTGACTTATTTCACTGTCCTTTAACTAAATTTTCCCGTTTTTTTTTTTTTTTTTGGTACAAAGAAGGAGAATAAGAAATCAATATTTTCGTGTGATAACAATATACACCAACATCTAAATTTAAAGAGCCCATGTATGTATATTATATTGTTTCTTCTGCAAATTAAACATACAATTAAATTTAAGGAACCTTCTCTGTAAGGGCTCAATTAATACAATTACCTTTTCCTTTCACGGAAACGTCTAAAAAACGTCGTCGTTCACTCTGGTTGAATTCTCAAAAATCTATCATCTTTCTTCCCCCGAAATATAAAAGGTTTTTCAGAATACCGCCATTATAGTTACTGATGAGATGATATTTTCTTCTTATGTGGAAATTAGATAGTGTTTGCTTACATTATTTGCTAATTGATTCATCTTCGAAAGCCCTGAATCAAGCTGTGTGAATTTTCTCAATTCGTGGTTATCAGCAAAGTATTCGAGGTAATTTCATTGATTATAATATAGGGATCAGCAAAGTATTCATCTTTAAAATTTTCACAAGGGTGATCGAATCTTTGAAGTTTCAGGGAATTTCATTGATTTAAGGTGGTAATGAGTTAATTATCTGCACTGGGTTTTTATGTGTTCAAAGTAAATAGCAGGGGGATGGATTCCTTTTGTTGTTAACACTCGGTTGTTTGTTTTGTTCAATTCTGCAGTTTTCTGGGATTTTCTGAGAACAACAGCTTTTTGTTTGGGAAGATGCTTTCAGGGTTGAAGTTCATCCCGCGAGCTGAAGTAGAGAAGGTAAAGATTTTATTGTTTCTGATAGTTTTGATTCTTTTAGTTTTTTGAAAAATCATTAGAGGGTATATTGCTTCCTGTTTTCTGACTGAATTTTGCTTTTCCAGTCACGGGATGAAGAATTAGAGGATTCTAGGAAAGATAGAAAGAAATCAAAGAGTAAGAAAGATAAAAGTAGACATAAAAAGAGGAGATCCCATTATAGTTCTGATGAAGATCTTGAAAGGATAAAATCAGGGTCTAAGAAGAAAAAGAAGTGGTATGCTTCAGATGAAGAATCATCTTCATCTGCCGGTGAAAGTGATGGGGATAGTGACTCTGAATATGATGATGAAGAACGTAACAGTAGTAGTAAGAAAAAGGAGAAGCAAAGACGTAAAAGTAGCTTAGGAGACGAAGGTGGAGGTAGCACCAAGAAAAGGGGCCGAAGTAGGAGGAAAGATGCTTCATCCGAAGATTACTCTTCCAGTGACTCTGGGAGTGGAAGTTTGGGAAACGAGAGACATAATAAAGGAGGAAAGAGAAAAGAGAAGACAGACAAGAGAGTAGTGGTTAAGGATGGCGATGTGCAAGGTATGCTGGCTTCATTTTTTTTTTATTTTTTATTTTATTTAGCATTGACACTTAGTTCCTTTTTGGTTTCTGCTTGTTAGTGCTCTATAATTTGAAGCTGTAGACATGCCACTAGGTTGTTTCTGACTTGCGCAAATTCATCTCTTTAAGCATATCAGGATCTGAAATTTATGTAAACATAATATGCATATTTGCAGATGATCCATTGTCGTAATTTAACACAGAGATCCCATCCTTTACCAATGTGAATGTTCCGGTTCAAAAGTTTTGTATCAGGGTCCTCAATAATGGACTTGACATGGAAATTAGAGTATAAATTGAGAACAATTTTGTCTCTGTCCCAATTATGAATTCATCATTGTATACTCAAGTTCTAATGTGGCGTTTAAATTTCTTATTTCCCGTCCTTACCAAAACCGTGGTATTCGTTATTGATACTCATTGCTGTTGGATAAGAAATCATCGCTGAGGAAGATATCTGTCAAATTTCATATCTGTGAAAACTATTAGGGGTCTAACCAGAGGGGGAACTATTAGCGAGTCTAGAAAAACGAGCTCATAGGTTGATGTCGAAATCGCTTTTAGACTTCCTATGAAAAATGCCAATTTCATGCTCATTTATAACTTTATTGTTTCTGTGTGTTTGTCTCAGGTGGCAGCGAAGTGTCTGAATCCCGGAATTTGAATGAATTAAGGAAACAAATGGGATTGGACTTCATGCTTCGTCCTAAAGATGCTACGGAGAAGGTTATCACCACACCTTTGGACAATCAACAAGAACTGCAAGTTGAAACGGAGGAGGTAATATATTTGTTTTACTATTTCGGTTGTTTGCTTTGCTGCAGAAATATTTTTTCTATTTAAAGTATTTTAAGATGCTGGAACATAATTATAAAGAAAGACAGAGCTCACGAGTTGTTTTTACATGATTGTGTTATACATGGTTTTGTTTAAGTTTCTGTTACCCTTAGATTCTCCTCTGAGTTTGTTATGTGCCAATGGCCAGCGATCTTTGGTTTTGATTCTGTTTTTTTGGAGTATGCTGGCTAAAATGCCTCAATTATGCATTTTTCCAAGTTTTTGTTCTGCAGCACACATTTTCAAGTGACAACCCGTTCGTTAGATTCTTACTAATTTGTACATTCTTTTAGATCAAGAAGGCCAATCCAAAAGAACTGAATCCATACTTTAAGGATAATGGGAGTGGGTATCCTGAAGAATTGGATGGGAAGACTGGTCGGACCCAACTCATGTCATCATCTGTTGTTGGTGATGGAGGAGCGAGCTGGAGGCTCAAAGCATTGAAACGAGCTCAGGAGCAAGCAGCCCGTGAAGGACGAAATTTTGAAGAGGTGTGTATGGCTTAAGTGAAGTTTTTATTTTGGAACCTCCGTCCTTCAATTATGTGTTAAGTAAGGTGTTTTGTACCAGGTGGTACAAGATCGCTGGGGTTCTCTTGGTCAGTTGGCGGTTTCTGTAGCAGCTCACAAAGTTGCTCCTGCTCATGCTCATATTCATGCGATAAAAAGCAGGAGGAGAGGATCAAAGGAAGAAGAACAAACAGACACAAATAAACAGAATGAGATGGTTGATGACACGGTACACATTCTGTAGAGTGTATTCTTACTGAAATTGAAGGCTTTAAGATAATTCATGTCATGAATCTAAAGTAGTTCGTTTTTGTGAAAAACTACTCATCTATCTATGCCTATGTTCTTGCTTTAATCTTTGATTCTCTCCAGGGGAGAAAAGAAAAAAGGGGGCGGGGGATTTTTTCTCACATATTTATAAATGTGGGCGGGTTTTTTTTTTTTTTTTTTTTTTCTTCCCTTTTTTGCCCTTAAGAAAACAAAATTGACTATCTTTTCTAGCTCTAGTAATTCTATTCATGGTTCGCTTTCGTTTTGTTTTCTCTTTTTTTCCCCCCTTAGTAAGAATGCTTACATTTTACCTCGACACTTTTCTGTAGGATGGATCCCGACGTCAAGCAAAGATGAGGGTGCCTAAAGTTCAAAATTCTTTGCATTGGGGAAAAAGCAAGATGACTGCTGCAGATAGCAGCCTCTCTGCTGCCATTTCTACCATAAACAAATTTTCCAATGATGGAAGTTTTATGAATACATTTGTGAATAAGCAGAGTGAGCCCTTGGGTGATCATCTTGATTCTTCAAATATAAAAGCAGGTGGAGAGATTGAATCGAGTTCAATGGCGGAAAGCATTGATGGTGCTGGTAGTGTGAGGCCAGCTTTGACTGCAAATCAGTTGGCTGCCAAAGTTTTACAGCTTCGAATGAAAGGAAAGCATGAAGAAGCTGAGAAACTCATGGTAGGACAAGAGGTTTCCCATCTTTGTTTTCTTGGTTGCACATGCATTTTTTTTTCATCCATTCCTTGATGTGTAATTGATTTTTAAGAAACGAGCACTTCTGCATATTTGTCATGGGAGGCATGAATCAGTGTTGCATTTTTCTATAGGAGCCTAAGTAGATATTCTTAAGCTGTTATTAGAATAACAGATGTGCATTATAAGAATCCATCCTTCTTGTTCCCATGATTAATGGGGTGTGATCTGATTTTGTATCAGAAGGAATCTGAAACGATAAAGGTGAAGGCAGCAGCTGAGAGTGAGCCTCACAAACCACATATTGATGGGACTAGAAGCAGGTAAATTAGGACTGTCAAGCTGCTTCTTTTTACTTATATGTGCTTTGTGTGAAGGAATCTCAATAATACTTGTTATACATATAAATTTGAAACCTTTATGCTCAGATATATCATGCACGACTTTTCTGCTCGGCAAAAGAGGAAAGAAGATGATGGTGATTTGCATCTTGCTCAAAGAATAGCGCGAAATCATCAGTTTAAGGTTTCTGGTCAGGCTGATGATGAATATGATTATGATGATGGTCCGAGAAGAAAACCTCGGCATAAAGGTCGGGGTGATAACCAGAATGCAAATGAGGCTAGCCAGGTTGCCAAGTTTGCTAACCGGATGTTGACGCAGAAAGAGCGGTGCCAATTTTGCTTTGAGAATCCAGAAAGACCGAAGCATCTTGTTGTTGCCATTGCAAATTTTACCTACTTGTCATTGCCACGTTGGCAGCCTATTGTTCCTGGTCATTGTTACATCTTGACCTTGCAGGTAAACCACCATTTCCTTTTGTAGATGCCCCCCCTCTATTATCATTGTTTAACACCCAGTGCATTTGCAATATCTTTTGTTGCACTGCACTTTCAGACCGCTGTTCAATGGTTTTCACTTTATTTCTAGAATGTAATGTTGCCTAACTGAAACATTTTAAAGATATAAGTGCCTGTTGTTGAATTATTTTTTGAAACCTTTGACTCTAGCTTGACTGTTTTACTCTCCATTTCTTTCATTAAAGATTAAAAAAAAAATGAAAAAAGAATGATCTTAAAAGGGCACCTGGAGTTCTCTAATTTTTTCCTTGTGCCATGATCTTCAAGTTACTTGTTTGGCTTTATATTGGGGGTGTGCTTCTGTGACATAATATGTGTATTTTTTTTATTTATTTATTTTTTTTTTTGTGTGTGTGTGTGTGTGTGTTAATGTTAACGGGTAGAATTTTAAATTTGGTTTCAGAAATTTGAAATGTTGCTAGTAATGTTTTCATTTCTGTTTTGCGTGCGAGAATCGTGATGCTTCTTTAATTCTGCTTATACTTTGTAGTAATATGTGCTTGGTATTTCTACAGCATGAAGCATCGACAAGGACTGTAGATGACAATGTATGGGATGAAATAAGGAACTTCAAGAAGTGCCTGATTATGATGTTTTCAAAGCAGGATAAGGATGTTATCTTCCTCGAAACTGTGATGGGGTTGGCACAGCAACGCCGTCATTGTTTGGTTGAGTGCATTCCTGTGCCTAAGAAAATTGCAAAGCAGGGGCCCATGTATTTCAAGAAGGTTAGGTTCCTAATGCTTCTCTATTTAGTAGTTAGTACTATTGTCCTTTGGTTAATCAAATCATTAGTTTGTATATTCTTTGCCTTTCGCTTGGCCATATTTGAAGAAGGGGGCTTTCTACTACAAGGCTTTGTTATTTTAATGTGTTGTTATTTTCAGTTGTGGTTGTTTGAGAATTTAATGTAATGTTGATGGACAGTAAGGTTCTTTCTCAAATAATTAAGCTCAACCCGCTGATAAGATTGAAGAATAAAACTGGTGATAGATTTGGGATATGATACGTCTTGTCTGTCTGATTTCTTTGGGCTTCATTCTGAACCCTTTTTAATGCTGCAGGCTATAGATGAAGCAGAGGAGGAGTGGAGTCAACACAACGCCAAGAAGTTGATCGACACTAGTCAAAAGGGACTGCGAGCGTCGATCCCTAAGAACTTCCCCTACTTCCACGTTGAATTCGGCCTAGATAAGGGATTTGTTCATGTCATTGACGATGAAACACAATTCAAAAGCAACTTTGGCCTCAATGTTATAAGAGGCATGCTGCGGTTGCCCGCTGAGGACATGCATAGCCGACGTAAGCATGAATCTATCGAGGTGCAGAAGCAATCTGTTGCAAGTTTTGCACAAGATTGGTCGCCTTTTGACTGGACCAAACAGCTCGAGTAGCACCAGTGCGCATGAAATTGGGTTTTGAACACTAGATGTAAGAAATCGCCGTTTACAGAAGTCATCCCCTGATCACCTGGATTCTTCTGTGCAAATCATCAGATACTTGTGGCAATATAGATAACTGTTCTGAGAAAGTTGCTTGTATTTTTTTGGTCATCTTTCTTTCTGCATGTTTCCTTTGCAGGAAGGAAACATTATGCCTTCAGCACATTCTAAAATGTGAGATAGAAAATTTCTAAATTTAGAATAGAGAAGTTTTTGATGGGAGTTTTAGACGCAAGAAATACAAACTTACATATCTGAATTTGTAATTTTTTTGACACCCATGAATGATTTGAGTCTCCTACAGAGTTAGTGTTATAATGGGAGTTTTTTTTTGGTGACGCCGCCCTCAGGCTAATGGCTTCGGGCGCAATTTGCCTTCAAAAACTCGATGATTCACGGGATTTTGTAATTCATACCAAATATTACATTTCGTTACGTTAATCTTCGTTGCTGAGAGTCAGTATCGTAATGGGAGTTTTTGTTAGTAGATATATAGAAAGAGAAAAATTTGATAATCATAATTGTGTAATCTTGAAAAAGTATACCCCCAATTTTCTAGTTATTATTATATTTGGGACAAAGGGGAAAACAACAAAACTATTATTGTTGTAAAAATATGGTTATAAAAGGAGAAAAACTAGCAAAATAAGATGCATGAAAATTCCCCATTGGAAACCGAAAATCTGCCAGGAAACTGAAAAATAAAAATAAAAATACTAAAGCCCATATTCTCCGTTTCGAAAACCAAAAAAATAAAAATAAAAATTATACAAAGTTGGAATACATGTTTTTGCTGGAGAAAAAGATTTTGTCTTTCTTTTTATTTCTTTTAAGAAAACATATAAAAGGTTGAAGACGAACTGAAGTTCCCTTCGTCAGTCCTTTGCTAACAGTAAACCAAAATGTTTCTCTAAAAGGAGGTCAGTAGATTTTCTGCTGTTAAAAGAGAAGACACTCGAAATTTTGAAGCTTCAGTAAGGTATCTGTTTCTTGATGTTAAGATTGTCACCCAGAAATTCATTTTCTAGACCCGTTTGATTATGTTTTCTCTTAAAAATTTGATCTTTCAGTGTTTGAACTTCGGTGCTTTACTTGGGTTTCTGTTTCGGAGGTAGTTTTTGGACTTGTGTGGTGGCATCCCTTTGGAAAGTTTTGTGCATGTTACATGCTTGACATAATGTCTCTGTTGGATTGAACTTCAATGCTTCTTGGAATAATGGCGTACCGAACAATTAGAAGCCCTTTTAACTAGCTGGTTCTCTTTTCATCATTTTCATTATTATGTGATTCATAAAGGAGTTGTGATGTTTTGATGATGAACAATTCAGTTGGGAAAAAAAAGACGGTTTGGTTCCTTGGCTAGCTGCTGATTAATTCTTAAAGTATGCATCTTCTACGATACGGATATGATGTGAGTTTCTTGTTATAAGTTACAGACAAGCCTGTCCAATTTTAGTTATGTCTTGTTGAATAGCAGGACGTCTAGTGGGTGTAGTATTTGAGTGAACCTTAGAACGATACTTTGATTTGGTGCCTCAGTTTTCTTGGGATTCATTTTGGATTGGAGTTTTAGAGCCCCCCTGGGCTTCTCTGAGAAGTGTGGAAATTGGAGTGCATACATTGGAGTTTGATTCGGTGGCGGGGCTTGTTCTTTGTTATTTATTGTGGGCAACAGAATTGATTATTTTTGTCTGAGAAGTGTGGAAATTGGTGTACTTTGCCTTTGAATTGGAGTTTGATTCGGTGGTGGGAATTGTTCTTGTTATTTTGGTATAATGATTCGCTGGATAGATTAGCTGTGATGCTATCTCTTGCCCTTTATCATGTGCTTTATTATCTTGTTTTATGCTGCTGAATGGATTTGATATGGGCAATTGGCTACAGGGAGCTATATTAACACTTTCCAAATTCCTTGGTGCCTAATAAATTAATGATTTGTAGACCAAGATGCCTTGTTTTGGTTATTATACTCTGAAATTGGGTTTGACTACATCTGTGGCATAAATTGTTCGACAAACAATACAGGCAAGTGTTGTGATTTCAAATGAAGCATTATTTACTGTTTTTATACTTATATAATCAGTTGGCATGCTTCAGAGATTCAATTTTGTGACTTTGAGATGAAGATCTTCTTTTTGATTCTTTACCCATTAATAAATCAGCTCCCATCCCATTGCTTTTTGAGATTCAAGTGTCTTCCTTGGGTATTTGAGGCCCTTCATCATGTTAAGCTTGTTCATTGATCGGGAAGATTAACTTGTCAATGCTTACTTGTTTAACAGTGTTGAGACTAATGATGCGGGCAGTGTCACTGGCGAAGCTGGCCAGGCGATACAGTCAACTTGGATTATATGGGAATCAAGTTCTTTCCCAGCACACAATGGTTACTCGCTCTTCAGTTAACAGCCAAAGTGATGCAGATGTCGCAGAATCATGGGACAGCCAACTTGTTGATCACGGACATCACCGAGTGCTTCAGCAAACTGTTGGAACTTGGCAAGCACCGACAATTGGAGAAAAGATCTCAAGGACGGAGAAGATTCAGAATCTTGTGAAAGCACTCAACGATCTCGATAATAACAAAGAAGCTATTTACAGTACTCTTGATGGCTGGGTTGCCTGGGAAAAGAATTTCCCTATAGGTCCTCTGAAGCAGGCTCTGCTTAGCCTTGAGAGAGATCAACAGTGGCACAAAATTATTCAGGTTATTAAATGGATGCTTAGCAAGGGACAAGGAAACACAATGGGAACATATAGACAGTTGATTCGCGCACTTGATATGGACCATAGAGCGAAAGAAGCACATGAATTTTGGATGAAGAAAATCGGCTCTGAATCCCATTCAGTCCCTTGGGAGCTATGCCAGTTGATGATCTCTATATACTACCGCAATGACATGCTGCAGGAACTCGTGAAACTATTCAAGGGCTTGGAATCGCTTGATCGTAAACCACCAGATAAGTCCATAGTGCAGAAAGTAGCTGATACATATGAGAAGTTGGGAAAACCTGAAGAGAAGGAAAGAGTATTGGCCAAGTATGCAGAACTGTTTGCTGCTGAACCCGAGAAATCGAAACGCAAGAAAAAGCGATATAAGAAAAGAACATCAGATGAGAATAAGGAAAACCCATGATGTCATGAAGGTTTTAGGCATTTGGCTGTTTACTAGAGTCTCATCAATATCCTTATTCTTCGACAACGGTGTTCATAGTGAAATTTTGCTTAATTGCCATCTTTGGGACTTATGATCATGAAAATCTCGAAATGCATAATGGTTTGTTTGCTGTTGGCCCGTTGCATTCCATTTCGTCTGAATCCAATCCGATTGCCAAATGATTAGTTCAACGGTAGATACTTTGCCATATGTTAATTTCAAATATTATTTCATTTGTAATATAGCTTCTGTCATCACTTGGATCCATAAAAATGATTAAATATAAAAAACGAGATAAAAATATCCTTGCTCTTGCCAAAATTAAAGTAAAAAAAACAATACTCTTTCTGTTCTAGAAAAAATAGTCCATATTGAGTTTTCAAATTTGTACTAAAATTAATATAAATTTTAACACTCAATGTGGTACAAATTTTAAAACTCAATGTAGACTAATTTTTTGGGACGGGTATAGTACTACCCTAGTAATCATAAATAAAAGAAGAGAAAAGAAAAGAAAAAGAGGTTGACTTTTTAGTGTCAACGTTGCTTTGTTTCCGGCCGTTAATCCAACGTTAGCCCACAAACGTTAACTTCAAATATAGCCGTTGGGAAATTACAACGGCTATGTTAATCAATTCCCAGATTAGCTACGTTCTCTTAAAACCCCAAATTTTCATCTGAACCTGAATCCAATCCAAATTTCTCCTGCAAAAAGCCCGCTCTCTGATTTCCTTACTTTCCTTCCTGAAATCAGAGACATTTCCATCTTCATCTCCCTTTCTCACTCTCGTTATCGTGTCAAAAGCAACCCACAAATCAAGATGAATGATTTGATGACAAAATCGTTTACCAGCTACGTGGATCTGAAAAAGGAAGCTATGAAAGATCTGGAAAAGGGTTTAGATCTCGAAATGGGTATGACCCAGATGGACCAAAACCTCAGTTCCTTTCTTGAAGAGGCAGAGACGGTGAAAGGGGAAATGAACTCAATTAGGGAAGTCTTGGTTCGATTCGAAGCGGCCAATGAGGAGGGAAAATCACTCCACAAGTCTGAGGCTTTGAAATCACTGAGAAATCGTATTAATGCTGATATTTTGGCTGTGCTGAAAAGGGCTAAGAAGATTAGGTCCCAGCTTGAGGAAATGGATAGGTCTAATGCCTTAAGCAGGCGTCTTTCTGGATGTAAAGAGGGAACCCCTGTTGATAGGACGAGGACTGCTGTGACTAATGGGCTCAGGAAGAAGCTTAAGGAGTTGATGATGGATTTTCAGACTTTGAGGCAGAGGATGATGAGTGAGTATAAGGAGACAATTGGGAGAAGGTACTTTACTGTAACTGGGGAGAACCCTGATGAAGAGGTGATTGATAAGATCATTTCCAGTGGAAATGGACATGGTGGTGAAGAATTTTTGTCTAGGGCCATTCAGGTATGAAGAGAGTTGGAATCTTTATGGATCTTCTTTACTGTGTTTTCTTTTTGTTTGCTTACAAGTTTTTGGTCTAATCAATGGGTAATTGCTTTAGCTTTTCCTTTAATTCTCTGTTTCTGGTAATTGAGAAGCCAGAGTTTGGTTAGTTTTTGTTGTGGGCTTTCAGTTTTAGTCCTGATTCTAAAACTATACCAAAGATCAAATCTTGCTATCATTTATGCACTTTTTGGGGAGAGTTTGTAGCAATTCAAACTGAAATTATTCTGTTCTGAATGTTATGAAGTTAATTTGGCTTGGTTTGTTGGTTTAAAAAACAGGAACATGGGAGAGGAAAAGTGCTGGAAACAGTGGTTGAGATACAGGACAGATATGATGCAGCAAAGGAGATAGAGAAGAGTTTGCTGGAGCTGCATCAGATATTCCTGGATATGGCTGTGATGGTAGAAACACAAGGGGAGCATTTGGATGACATTGAGCATCATGTCCTGAATGCTGCTTCATATGTGAAAGATGGAAGCAAGAACCTCAAAACTGCAAAAGATTATCAGAGGAGCAGCAGAAGGTGCATGTGCATTGGGATCATACTCCTGCTTGTGATCATCCTTGTTATCATCATCCCCATTGCAACCAGTTTTAGCAAGTCTTAAAGAATTTGCTGTTGGTTGTGTTAGAAGAAATCTTTGTCTGTAATTCTTTCATTTGTTTGATTCTCCTTGTAGTGTAATATAGTGTACTAAGCTCTGTCTCTATGAGAGCAGTCCTTGTTGTTAGGACAAATTATTGCTTGTTGTAGCCATGATTGGCCTTAGAAGTAAAGTGTTTTTTTAATGAAGGCAACTTCATCAAAACCATTATAGTTCATTTCCTTATTTCACTGTTCTGCAACCAATTTTCTCATCATATTTATAACAGTGGTGAAGAAGAACTGAATTGATTGCACTTATAATAAATTTCAGCAAGAGTGATAATTGGGCATCATAATGTGAGTGAGCCACTTTGTTAGTCTAATTTCATGCTGAAAATTTGATCATAAAAGAGCGAAGAAGAGATGGCAAATTTTGTTTTGCAACATAATCCATCCTTTCATCTCTTGTTCTGTTTGCATTAGGAAGACATAGGGAAAGAAATGACTGATTTGATCAAGCCCGAGAGTCATGCTTGTTAAATCAAATCGTTCCACAAATGTAACTCTTTTTTTTTAGTACGGAAGAAATATACTAATCAGTGAAAAATTAGTTTATTATATACACAGATCGACCCTTATTTGTCCACTTAAATTAGAAACTAGCCTAGTTGTGCAACAGTTGATACAAAGTGAGGCTGATAGAACTCAAATGATATGGGTTTCATCATTTATAAACACTAAATTTAAATTAACATTTCGAAATTGAAACTAAAGCAAGAATACTTAAACTGGAATATGGACTTTGGTACTTTTTCTAGAAACAACAAAAAATTTTGGAACTTTGAAACAGTCTTTTCCCCTGAAAATCAAATCAAGCAATGAATTTTTTGGTGGCATCCTAGCTTTCCAACCAGAATTTATTTGGCGGTTTTTGTACGCACCTTTCTTGCTTTGGGCCAATCTTGAATTTTTTGTTGAAAATTTTGACGAATGCTATTTTCAGCATAAACTTGATTGTCCACAATCAATTGACTTGGTTACAACATAGTATCCTCAACGCACAGTGTAGTCTAAATGAGTAGAATCACTAATATTAATATGTTATTATATTTTAACGTATTCTTTCCGTTCTAGAACAATAGTACATATTTAAAAACTTGTAAATGTGAACTTTCAATAATATAAACAATATAGGAAAAAAAAAAGAAATATGTTCGGTTATCAATTTTATCGCAATCGAACTGTGGTACACATATTATAATTTCTTTTTTTTGAAATTTTAGTTGTTGGAATTGCACTATAATTATGAGACGGACGTGAAAGATTAGGAGCAGCTGAACTGCATTTACACCTCACTTCCCAACCATAAACGGCCGGAGAAGTGATTCACAATACTACCGGCCGGCCGCCGTGTTCATTCTGTCTCCTTGTCGGTGTAAATTTTCCATCAAGAATTGTGAGAGATTAATGTGAAAATGAAGAAAAATGACACTGGAAAACAAAGGATAATTAAGCTAAAATCATAACCTTTGTTGTTAGTAAGTTATTGGTGGGAGTAGTGATATTTTTCAGTCAATTCATGGAGTGAATGTTGACTTTGATCTTGAGTGAATAAAATCTTTTTTAAGTTTTTATTTTTTATTGAAAGGACGTAATAAATGATATTTAGTATAAATTAAAATGTCTTATAATAAGAACCGAATAGAATACTCTGTTGTTGTACTGAATGCATACTGAAAATATCGTTACTCCTTTTGAGAATAGGTCTTCACTATGAAAGGCACGTTGCAGTCAAATTGAGCTCGAGTCATTTTTGTCAAATTTTGTGTATACAAATGTTTCTGAATTTATTTCAGTTCACAAACACTTCACACCATGCTGATCAACTATAAATAGTTCAGTACTCCAAGGGCAATTATAAGCATCAAGTAAGATCCATCACAACTAGTTCTACTTTACACAAGAAAAAGCCCTAGCTATTACCACAACCAAAGAAACAAAAATGGCATCCAAATGTCAAGGTAACGTATTTCACCTCCATTTTTAATTAGGGTTACATTGGTGTCATGTGTAATATTATACTTCCGCTACGTCTTTCCATATCACTCGAGCATCTAACTCAAAATCAATTGATAATAATTGAATAATGTAGACGATTCTTTATTATTATTATTTTTTTGTGGTTAAATTCTTGATTGAGTATTATGTTGACATTTTTTACAAATTTAAATCACAGGTAAGACTTCGTGGCCGGAACTTATTGGAGCTGACGGAGTAGCAGCAGCGACGAAAATCCGGAATGAAAACCGGGGAGTGTTTGCACTGATCTTGCCGGAGGGATCACCCTTGCCGCCGGACTTCGAATGCCAAAGGGTTATCGTCATTGTTAACTACCGCAACAAGGTTGTTAAGGTGCCTAGGGCTGGTTGATTGGATACATAAAATAGTACTCCTTCCGTTTTCGAAAAATAATTCATACTACAATTTGTGAGTTTTATTATTTTTAGTTTAATTCACAAATTACAATATGGACTATTTCTCGATACAAATGGAGTATGATACCATGATAAAAAAAAATATTGTGATACGAGTATTTACTGTATGCTAGTTTACTCGCGTGTGATTTTCTTTTTCGTTTCTAAAGTTTATGTATTACACAAGATTTCCGATATAGAATAAAAGATTGGGGGTTTCCCCAATGATTGGTGTTATATTTAGATCGGCATTATATTTATTCTTCTGAGTTTTGGTTTCTGCTTAACTTTGGGGTATAAAATGGTAACTCATTCTAAGTCTTATATATCCTCCGTAAAATCTTGATTATCTTTGTCAAAATTCTTGTATAAATATGAGCTGGTTGTATTCTAGCAAGTCTAATGAAAATTTTTTTATATATATAAAAAAAAAACTTCAGAATACGTATATGATACTCCCTCCGTCCCATAATTATTGTTCACTTTGTCCAAAAAATTTTGTCCCAAAATTATTGTCCAATTTGACTTTTTATAGATCAAGTTACACATTTGTTCTTAGTAAAAATCATTATCCATAAAATTTTAGTGGTTAAACAATTACTTATGTAGGGGTATATCCGGTTATTCAAGGTACAATATAGTTAAGTTTGACTAAAAATAAAATTTTTCATTTTAGTAAAAATGGACAATAATTATGAAACGGAGGGAGTATTATTTTCTTCAAATGATTGACCGTTATATGTATTCTTGAGGCATAAGAATAACAGGTTTATTTTATTTTATTATATTTGTTCTTTGAAATGAGACAGAGGAAGTTTATCTATTATTTAATAATCGTAATTAAATTACAATAACGATGTTATCAATTGATATAGATGAATTCAGAAGATTTCAGAAGAAGAACGCCCTTGTGAAAAATTTTGAAAACTAGAAAAGAGTGGGTGACCTTTCTAGATAAAAAAAATACATTTTGTCTTTTTTTCTTTAAGGTAGACGAAAAAAAAAAGAAGAAGTTTTTATATTAATGTCTGCTCTTAATGTTAATTGGCCGGCTCGGCGGCATATAGGATTCCAGTTCAACAACAATCAAGAAGACGAAAACAAATGTCTTAGCAATATATTTGTGCAAACTCTCAAAATGGCCTTATTAATGACAAAATTGTGGCCGGAATCTCTCAGAAAAAACATACACATAGGACTTCTACGACAAAAATGTAGTAATAATTCTTTAGGTTGCATGCTTTCGTAGGAAAAAAAGGTTTATATAGTATTTCAGTTGCCTAATATTATATTCGTCTCAAAATAAAAGTCATATTTGTTAAGAGTTATTAAAATTCAATTGAATAAAACACGTATGCCGGCCCTTTTAGTTTCGTTGTTATGCGGATTTAAATTGATCCCCCTTTCATAGATATAAAACACGATGAATTACTTCTTCCAGCTACAAGCATTCAAAGAAGGAAAGATCAGAAGAGCTCAAAAATTTTCCAAGTTTTACTGATCAAGAATATGTCTTGTGGTAAATAAATTCAGCTAGAAACTTAGAGTTACAATACAATTTTAGTTTTGTCTACTGAATCTAGTATCTAATTAGATGACTTGAATTTTCCGATCAAATTATGATTTCAGGTAGCGAAAAACACGCGTGGCCGGAGCTACTGAACAGGCATGCCGGCGAGGAAGCTGTAACGGTGATTAAGACGGAAAACACTAAGGTGACTTTTGTGGAAATTGTTGATGAAAATGATAGGGTCATCACCAATTTCCGCTGCGACAGAGTTTTTATCTTTGTTGATAAACATCGGACCATTGTTGAGGTTCCAAAAGTTGGTTAAATCATTAGTTTTGAACTTTTTTCCTTCAAAATTATCTTAGTTATAAAGTTCTCATCTTAAGTTTCACAGGATTTGACTGGACTTGATTGATTTGGTTTTACTTTCTCTGTGCTTGTGTTAGTACCACGAGAATGTACTTCCCTTGTGACGAGGAGTTGTTATCCTATAAGTGCATCTAGTTAAAGAGCACTTAGATCTTATTTTAATTATTTAATAATGGAAGAATTTTATATGTAATTTATTTAACATATCTTCTTTCTTGTTTTTCAATGTACGTGTCCCTTACTCTTGATTTAGGAATTGGGTTTAAAATTTTTTTTTATCTTTAAATAATTTTATTTCTTAATCGGTAATGAACTAGACCAAGTGTTTTATATCATTTTGATAGTAATGAGATTTATCCAACAAGATCCATCATAAATATGTTTTCAAAACTTAAAAAAATTTATGCAGTTGGCTTGGTCATCCTACAAGACGTTATGGTTTTATTTGTGTCTTTTAGGACCAAGACCTAGAACAAATACCAAAGGCCAAAGGCCAAAAACTAAAAATCGAAAATCAAAGACTAAAGATCAAAGTGAAGATCGAGCGTGTGTGAGGACCAAAGATCAATGACCAAACATCAAAGACCAAAGACCAGAGAACAATCGTCAAAAGACCAACCTAGGCCCTAACCAACACGGAAATACTTAAACCTCCCTAAACCCTAAACCCTAAACAACTAGACCCTAACCGCATGTAAATGCTTAAACCCACTAAACCCTAAACACACTAATATTTTTTTTAGTTTAAATTTTTTTAAACCAAAGCCTAATTGGTTTGAAAAAATTTCATAAGGTTAATCGTGTTATGGCACAAATTAGGCCCTAACTGACACGGAAATACTTAAACCCCCTAAACCTTAAACCCTAAATAAGTAGACCCTAACAGACACAGAAATGCTTAAACCCCCCCTAAACTCTAAACCCTAAAAAATTAGACCCTAACCGGTACGGAAATGG